GAGCCTTATTTATTTTTCCACTTTAAGTGGAAACAAATTCAACTCTGATTACATTGAATTTGCCATCCTGGAGCTGGTGGTAGCTGGATGCTTCAGAAAACAGCTGAGCCACGAGATGCATTTGGGAGACTTGAGGAAATGCATTGTAGTTTTTCTTGTTTTCATCAGAGACCACATACCAGAACTTCCCTCCCTCACAGCCATTTTGACCAACACAGCTCATCACCGAGTGTCAAAACCAAACAGTGTGTCCCCAGTGGCCCCTGTTATAATGTTCAGTTGTTCCTCCTAGCTCTCCTTGCCAGAGGATGGCAGAGGCATGGGAAGAAGTGATGTGCTGGAGCACTGGGTGTCAGCCAGCTGGTGACTTGCCCCCATGTCGAACTCCACTTCCCTTGGCCATTCCAGCACGGGCTGCTGGATGTCCTTACCATTCTGCCTTCTTATCCTCCCAAACCCATACAAAATCACCAGGCAGCCGGACACTGTTCCTAGACAGGGCAAGCATCATGGGACAGGTGATGGTACCAGTTCTTCCAGAGGAAAAGTTCACGTCACACACCCAACTCAGAGAAGGGGAATTTCTTCCATAGTCTCTGTAGGGGTTGAGCCCCAGTAGGAGAAATAAGAGAAGGCAGAGAAATCTTAGTTTGTACAACTCCAGGCCATTTAAGATAACCAACCCCAAATGCCATGCAGCTCTATCACAAACCTTTCAGCAGAAGATCTGGAGGTGTTTTATACTGGAAAGTAATTGTTATTCCCTTGTTACAAGCAATAAAAGTGGGGCAGCTACCTTCCTTGTTCAAGGAAATCCAAATATAATTCCTTTAATCATAAAACAATAGCTAATTTCCTCGGCCAAGTCATTCTGCCTTCAGCACAGCAATCTGTGTGCACGTTACTGACTCCATAATGAATTTCAGCAAGAGGATTAATGGGGAGGAACATATGAACACTTACAAATTACAACCAACACAAGTAGGTTGGTGTTTGGTACGGAGTTTCCCACTGTTTCTCTGGAATACTTCTGAATGACATTATGAACAAGTGCCCTTGCCAAAACCCACCAGAGGCAGGGATGACTGAAGTGTCATGGTATGATAAAGAGCAGGAACAGAACTGGTGTCTGTACAGCCTGCTGTCGCATCCTCGAACCACTGGAGCTTATGGCTGAAGGTCAGAAAGAAGTTTGGAAAGTGTTAAAATATAAACCTGAAGTCATTAACTGCATTAACCACTGAAGGAGTTCAAGTTGCTTGAGCCATTCCTAGGGTCTGGAGAATACAGCTGGCCTGGGAGCTGCCCACAGACAACAACGTGTTTGTTAAAGGGGAGAAAACAAGGGGCTGCAGCAGAGCAGGGAGCTGTGGGAGAGGCAGTGACAAGCAAGGGGCTGCAAGTCATCAGGGCGACTTGCAGGGCAGGAGTAGGGGGAAGCTGAGCTTTCAGCAGCTCCAGTAACAGCTGAAGCACTCCCAGTTTGTGGGAAGCTGTGTCATAAGCACACTGAAATTGCTTCCCTGCTTCTTCCCTTCTGCTTTTTGGTGGATGATTGAAAAAGGGAAAAATGACTGACTACTTCAAAACCCTCCTAAGTGCACAGAGGCTGATTCCCTCAGCTTCCATCAGACATGCAGCTTTCTTTGGCATCAAGACCACCACAAATGTACATAGGATTACAAACCACAGCCAGTCAAAGTACGTTAGCATTCCTGCCCACTTCCGTAGCTACACACACACAGTCTTCCTGAAACAGCTACACAAAAATTCCCATTTACAATTTTACCATGTCTTCGTTTTTACTGCCTAGGCTTTCTTGGCGCTTCCAGGCTAAGCAGCAATGACCAGTAATGGCTGCAATAGCATGGACAGTAACAGCAGCAGCTCTCCCGGAAGCTGGAAGAGCCGCTTTCTGGCAGCTGGAAGAGCAAACAAGAGAGTAGCTCCAATAAAAAACCCTATTACAGTGCTCATGCCCAAGAGGCGATTCTCTGACCCCACATTAGTTTGCAGTGATATCTCGGAGCAAAGATACAACGATGGGAACTCAAATAGAAACTGTAGCAGGCATCTGGCACCAAATGCAATTGTGAAGTTGGATTCTAGGTTTTTTTCAATACAGGGACACTCATAGTTAACTAGATATGGGACAAGGATATAGTGGTGAGCATAGCTGCCTTCAAAGGAGAAAATACAATTTATAGGAACAGAGGAGAAAAGTTATTCTATTTTGTTATGTTTTTCCTGTATTTTTTCAATCTTGTCCCTGTGTTGCCTTTAACTACACCTGAATCATGTAGTCCAGATCCTCAGCTGACTTCAAAGAAACTATAACTTCTACCAAATCAAAGGTCTAGCCCTTATTACTTACAACCACACTAATACATGTTGTGCTTATAGGTGATCCGCAAAACTTTACAATTCTTTAATTATCATCAGAATCCAAATTTTTCTAATGGAACCTACTGTCCAAAACTGTATTCAGTTTTTATATTATCTGCCTTCAACTTTAAAGGCATGCAGAGGAAATCTTATGCCCTACAAATCTTTAATGAACCCGTAAGGTGCTTTCTCAGAATGATTTGTATGCATCATGGTAATTCACAGATGTTGTGTTTCATTCCTTCCTAGTTGGAAAAGGGTTGCTGAAAATATGTAAACATTTATCAAGCGTTTGAAAATGGAAAGTATCAAATGTAGTGCTAAAGGTATTTATATTTACATATTTCTAGCAGCAGGCTCAACGTTAAAGCTGCCAGACCTCAGCCATGGTTACAGCAGCAAAGACCTTCCAAGACTCAGCATGGGTATTGTCCCCCCAGATGATCTCCACCATCCCTAGAAAGCAGCACACATAATTTCCAGGTCACACCATTAGCTCTGGTGACTCTCTCCGAGGCTGAGAGCAAAGGGCAGCCCATTGCAAGTGGATGTCATCTCAGGGAGGACAGCCTCACCACTTCTCCTTGGTGTCAGTTAGAAAATTGACTCTTTTGCATGCTCGCTTCTGTATGTTCTCTGGGTAGGGACAAGAAAAAGCAGGAATGCTTAGGCTGGCTAAATTTGGTTTACTGGAATTTACTTGCTTAGTACCCTGCTTTAAATAAGACTCAGATTCCTGTGGAGAGTAACTCAGCAAATTAGTGAAAGTTGTTAGCTATATCCCCCCTTTCCTAATCTTCTACTAGCCACTGGGACAAATGACAGCAGTGAGCACACTCAATGCTCATGAGGGAGCAGGGACCCTCACAGGAGGAGAGCAACTATATGGTGCAAGGATGTCTCCCAAGGTTACTCTAGGTTGTTGCAGAAGCAGACAAAAAAACTGGGACAAGTGTGGCCACATGTTGGAGGAGTTATGGATGCTTGCAGCCCATATCCCTGCCCTGAGCTGCTCACCCAGTGCCACTGGACATCTCCAGGGCTAAGGAGCCATACAACAGAGAAAGAACTCACCTCCAAGGGGCAGAACAGTTCATACCCAGAGAGACATGGCACAGCCATGGAGACTGCTGCCACAGGTGGGCCTATGGTCAGAGCTGACACGTGCATCTGTCTGAAGAGTTTACGAGACACCTCAAGTCCAACCACTGCTCTCCAGTTCATCATATCAAAGCAGGATAGAGTGGGTTCAGGAGCTGCCAGTCTTCAGGGTGGCTTTCTAACATTTTCTGGGTTCTCTAAACAGTGGACTTCTGCTGAAAAGTCTTTTCCCAAGTGCAAAAAGATGGACGCTCTAAAGGGATGTGCTGAAAGAGTTTCAAATATGCCAGAGTCAACTACAGAGCTGTGGTAAGGGATCTCAGAAATCAGATAATTGAAAGGGTCAGTTTCAGCTCCACTCTACCACTGGGCTAGTGTTTATTTGTCCAGGCTGGCAGGCAAAAGGTTAGTCCTTTTTCTAGTTACTGCAAACAAAAGCAGAGGAGACTCATAAAGGCAGATAGGTCAGGCTGTCACGGGTGAATGAACATCCAAAGCCTTCTTATGGCAACCATACATCCTTGGCTGACAGCAGGGGAGAGAAGAAGGGGAGAGAGGAAGGGGAGAAAGGAAGGGAAGAGAAGAAAAGGAATTTGTGTACTCAGAGATGGCTGAAAGGCATGCCAAGAGCATTTCCTTTCCCAAAGAGGGAAGATGTGGTGAGAGCTCTGGCGTGGGATCCAGTGTTGCCTTCTGGGAATGTCTCTTGACCAGCAACTGAAAATGGCTGCAAGATCATTGGATGAGGATCTGCTAAAGGACAAAGTGCCATTTCATCATCACAATTAATGTTGCATTGTAAAAAACAAAAAGCTGAAATTAAAAAAAAAATAAAAATATCTGCTCTTTGGTGCTTTGTCCCCTTCAAGGCATTTCAGCAGGCCCAAGGGATTTGGGCTGGAGCTGGGCAGGGAGCTCTGCCTGTGGGGACAATGCCCCCTGGTTCTGCTTTATCTCCCCACATGCACATTTCACTGAGGGTCATAAACTGGGGTCCACACAGTCCCTGGATGAACGAACCACACCAAGCCCATAGTACCAAGCGGGTATGGCCATGAACCAAGGGAGCAAAAGACTGAGCCAGAAGTGTGTTTTGACCTATTGCAAGTACATCTTGCTGATGTGCATAAATTCTGCATTTTTGTGTTAAAGCCCTCATTGCCTGGATTTTCTTATAAACATTTTGCAATTGCTTTGTCTTGAATGAGTGGAAATTAGAACACACTCCATAAATTAACATAGTACATTTTTGTCCCTGAGCCTGCTGCCCTGCTATCACATTCTTGCAAGAGATGTCTTATACCCTTGCTTTAAATACCTTCTTATATCAAATGTTAAGTTAGATTTGTTCACATAAACCTATTTAGTTTTCCTAGTGCAAATGTTTTTTCAACTATTGTGTTGTAACAGGATAATAGAAGTTTTAATTGACTGACATTAAATCTTTCCTACAAAACTATAGCTTTAATACCCCCTAGGACTGTTAAATTTTTATTCATTAATTCTCATTACAGAAAAATCAGTTTGAGAGCTCCTAGGGTCTTCCTCAAATAAGGATAAGATCCTATTAGTCCTACAAGTCATACTCAAGTAAGTAATTCTTACCCAGGAGAAAAAGCTCGTGGGGAATTAAATGCAGATTTAGTAGCCAAAGGAAGAGAAAGAATGGGGATTAGAAACCCTTAACATTGCTCACTGATGTTTTCCTTCACATCCAGAGACCATCTGGCAGCTCCGAGACACTTGGCTTTCCCGCACCATCATCATCCCAATCTGTAAATGGCTTAATTTGCATCAGGTTTCTGGATTTCAAAATGCTGAGACACATTTAGACTGTTTGACTATAAACAAATTAGCAGTAAATCTGTTGCACCTAAACAAAGTAACAGGAGAGAGAGAGAGAGCACGCTCACTTCTCCATGGTGTTCTGTTTGCTTTGCAGAAATCACCTCTCCTGTTTAATAATCCCTGCGGGCGTGTAAGAAGAACACGTTATCCCGTCGCACCTCCCACCGGCTTCCCCCTGCAGCCTCTGCAGCAGGAGCGGTGGCTGGTCGACCACTGCTCTGGTTTGGCACTGAGAAAGTTAGAAGTGAGAAAGATGAAAAGTATCATTTTTCTCACACCCTAATAAAGTTTCAACCCCTTTAAAGTTACTTTTCCTTAGATCAAAAAAGGAAAAAGAAACCCCCAAAACCCTACCAGAAAGCAATACGCTCAATTAGGGGAACAGTGCTTTTCCCCTGTAAGTCACAGGGTAAGTGTTGGCCCTTGGTGGTGTGTCACGTTGCAAGCAAGGGAGGGTCATGCTGGAGGGGCACTCATATCCGGACCCATGAAGGGGGGAATGAAGTGGGAAAGATAAATTATTGCCTTTTGTTTTTCAGATTTCCGGGTACTCGCAGTAAGGACCCACTACTTCTTATCTCAGCTGTCACACAAGTAACAAACATCTTTCCAACTACTGAATCTCATTACCCTAAAACCAGAGTGGTCCTGATTCGAGCCAAAACCTGAAAAGCTCTGCGTGCTCTGGAGCAATACATGAAAAATGGTGAAAATGCTTTGGTCACCTGAGGGCTCGCCCCTGCCCAGGAAGAAGGTCATGCCCATGAAAGATGGTCAGCAAAAGACTCACCTGCATCCCCTGGTAACTCGGGTATGTTTTTGTTTACTGAAGCAGTCATGGACTGGGGGCTGGTTTCTCAGGCCGCTGGTGTTGCTGATTACTTGAATGACATTTTAAAACCCATCCTGAAAAATGTCTCCCAGAAGCTCATCATGGTTTTGGTGAGGTTATAATATCAGGTACCTCAGACATGAACTGAAAAAGATCACACTTTGCCTGCTTCTGACATGTCCTGCGCAACTGACGTGCTTCCCCAGGGTGCAAACAAAGCCATCTACGCAGTCATGAGGTTTTTGGCTGGTTCCTGTTATAAACCTGTGTTAACATTTACCTTTCTCTTGTTCAGTGTGTGTCCTTGCATATTACAAATTAGATAATTAATTCTGAAAGAACAAACTTATTTTTAATATTTACTTTCTTTCTCCCTCTTATTTCCAGCTTCAAGCACATACTCCTGGAGTTATGATTTATTACCCTGACCTATTTCCAGATCCAAGGTCAAATACTTCCTCTCCTAATGACATCTTGTTAAAGTTTTCAAACGTAACATCTCACCCTTCAAAGCTCGTTCCACCCATCCATGAGCATTAGCTTATCTGAGTCATTTTCTTTTAGGCAGAAACTATCTATCTCTGTTTGATATAATGCAGATTTTTGTCATAGAAGTAGCATATTCTCAGTCACGGTGTAAAACAAAGATCAGGGAACACAGCTTCTACACTCTGCCTTTTCTCCAAGGCAATGCTCACTGACTGTATCACTCCGTATTTAGCAGAGCTCAGGCAGTACTTGTGTCCCTTCTCACTGGTCTTACCTAAGATACTCTCTTTCCCTTAACATAATTCTGATTTATTCTCCCTTCACTGTAGTCACAGTCAATGGCACCAAAATACAGAGCTTGTCAGCATTCAGTATCACCCTGGGTTCTCCACAAGCACAGTAAATATTAGTCTTACGGGCTGTCTATACACTCTCACACAAGCCTTATATTCAAAACACAGATTTCTTGATATATAATTAGTCAAGATTATAATCCTTGACGCTGCTGTGCATTCCCACCCGTATGTGCACCCTTTTATAATGGCTTGCAAACTTGTTTTCTCACACAAAGGAGGCAGCCCTTCCCTCCTGTCAAGTCTACCCTTCTCTGCATTTTCTAATAGGACAGAAAGCAAAATTTCCCCCATTACTTTAACTCTCACTGGTGGTTGAACTGATAGCCCAGCAGCTAGATAGTCTTCCACACTAATAACATCAACCCCTTTGGATGCACTGACTAAGAAACATGCAGTTTTCATTAGACTGCCCTTAATGCAGAAAAGATGTATGTTCGGCAAGGTTGAATGGAAACCTGACATCTCTGGTGTGTCCATTGCTACAAATTAGTGCATCTGCGTCCTGCAAAAGCAAGCGGGAACTGAAAAGATAAATACACGCTTCATAAAACAAAATAAAACCAGCTCTAGAAATAGGCAAGACCCTGAAGGAGGACTGAAATAGACCCTGGAAAATAGTGAAGTAATGGGCTTACAGTTTTATTATTCATATAAAGTTTAGTGACTTCAAAATGAAGGCAAAGCCAAACAAGACTTGTTATCCCACTAAAATCTGTGCTGTAACTGAAGCCAGTACACAGATGTTCTGTGGTAAAATCTGCTGCTTTGCTGCATAAAAGCGTCACAGACCCTGACGTGCAGTCCTGGCTTGCCTTTATCCAAACCTACTTAAATTCTGGATTATTTTTCTAGCAATCTTTTAAACTGCCATGGGAAGCATAAAAGGTGGTCTCCCAAAAAAACAGTTGGTACCAGCTTGAAATGTAACTGTTTGCAGAAATAAATCAGGATTTCTTTTTAATAAACTGCTTATCACCAGCCTTTCAGAACATAAACTGTACAAGAGAAGGCAGGGTCTGAGTGTAATAAACATCTCATCTTTTTACATATATTAAAGCAGAAGACCCTGGCATGCTCCACAGCAAAACACCCAGCAAAGAGAGCCATCCAGCCCTACTGAAGCTGTGAGATGGGAAGCTGAAGGCCACTGCATGGGTGGAAGCTCAAAACCACACTGCAGCCAAGATGAGCCCCTAATCCCCAGGCGCCATTAAACCACCCATCGTTAGATTGAGCTCTCAGACCACCTCCCAGGAAGGGATTTATCCCATCACTTCCAGGGGACTCTAAGGTGGAGAAACCTTAGGTGGAAAAACCTTCTAGGGAGGACAAAGTGGATTTGAAGATATCATTTCTGCCCCTAAACATGGTTTTGGCATACAAGCTGAGACCTTTCAGGGCAGCCCAGGCTCTCACCAAGCTGGCTGGGATCAGTGCAGCACCAACCCAAGGAGCAGGTTGTGGTGAAAGTGGAGCTGCAGCACTGACTGCGCTCACAGCTCTGCATCCCCAGCCCAGCTCACGGGAGGAGGAGAGGCATGCTGGAAAACCTGTGGCAGATGGGCCGGAGCTGCGTGCAGGGAACTTTAAACGTCAGCCGAATGCCGAATATGTGGTAAAGGCATTCCAGCTGAACTAGGAAGGCAGCACAGGCGTTACGTGATTTTGAACAGCTTGCTTGACAGTTTGCACCATATTGTATTTATAAACATTGGGGAAACCTAAATGCTTTGCCTTGGCATTTCCAAAGCAGTCATCTACAACAAAACATTCACGCGGGGCGATCCTACGTAGTTCTGCCTCACCTTTGTGACAACCTCCTTAAAAAAATCAAAAAACGCTGTCCGTATTAATCTCTGTGGTATCAGCATCCCATGCAACATTCACATTTCCTCTCCAACTGCCACCAAACTCCCCCAGGGGGATGGGGCGGTAACATGCTGGCCAGTGACACCATGTCACCCGTGTGCCACCCATCTGCGAGGGGTGGCTGGTGTCAAGGAGGAGCTGGCTCCTCGCTCAGGTGCTGCACAGCACGGCACATCCCAGGGCAGGTGCAGGACATGCAGGGCTGTGATGACACGCTGCAGTGCCCACGATCCACAGGGACAGCGTGGTGTACCTACAGTCCTCATCATGGGAATGTGACAAGGCTGAAGGAATTTTTCAGAGGTATCATAAAGCTCTTTCAAATTAAGCAAGCTCATTTCTGCTGACACAGAAAGCCCACAAGGAGCAGGTATCATTCTCCTCACAGCAGGATGAAACACAGCCGGGGACCCCAAATACATCCATGCAGTACCCACACTACTGCACATTTCTGCTTCAACACACTTTCAGTGGTTGAACTATAACACAAAAATCTCTCAGTGTTTTAAAAGTCCTCTCCTCCTTCAAATATTAACAAGTTTTAAATTCTAGACACTAAGTACTCACAGGGACTTTTAGTAGTACTAGAAGGCTGACCTCAACAGCTCTCCTCTTGCAGGTATGTGGTTTGCTACAAGGTAGGAGAGTGAGGCTGGGAGGGTGAGGCATTCCTGACAAGAAGCAATCTAAGATGCCATTCCTAAAATAGCTAAGAATCAGAGATCTTCAGAGTAGGCTGAAATGAATCACAAAGTTTTTCTCCCTGCTCTGTTACAGCATGGCCAAGGATGTTGCCAATGTCTAACACCCAAGCAGGTTCTGGGCAAGCCAGCAGTGCCCCACCAGGGTGACTAGTGTGTAAATCACTTGCCACCAACTGCCCAGGGAGGAATTCACCCTCAAATCACTCGTATCTTTCAGTTTTACACACATAAAACTCCACCAGCTCAATCAAGCATGAAATTGGTACAACTAGGCTAGAAGCCCATCTGAAGATGGTGCTCGATGGGGCTGCCAGTGAAGCCTGACTGTAGGATGCTCCAATGGAGAGCCAGTGCCACACTTGTGTCATTGAACATCATCTGCTGTCTGCTTGCAAACAGCCAGCCACGCCAGAGAGAGCTGTGTATTTACACTGGGGACCTGCCTCCCCTCTGAGCTTGCCTCCTCCGACACAGTCAAGCCACAAGAACAGCAATACTGCTTAAGCGTTTTAATTACAGATTGCAACAAGACGCTAACCAGACCCTTCGGTGGGGAGAGAAAGTCCAAGGGACACTACAACCTTTGCAGCCTGCTCTCTGCAACCAGCCTTGCAGCGGCTCCCTCACACGGGTAGGTGTCTGCCGGGGTGATTCCCTGAGCAGGCCTGTGCAGCGCAGCACGGACTAGACTCCTCTCACCCCTGGCATCAAGGTAATGGCTCTGGAGAATCGGGGAACGTTACCACTCAAATGTTAAACACATCCAGAATAAAAACACTCAGAAAAGCACTGCTTCTCAAAACTCTGCACTAGCGTTTAACTATGAAGGTTTAAATACATAAAAGTTATATCTGCAAGTGATTTAAAAAACACTTTGTAGCCATTGTCTCCACGCTGTCGAAATAAAATCACGACTCAGTCACCGCTGAGTTTTCTGTCTACTTTTTTGGTAGACGCTTTTCCTCCTCCCTTTTTCTTTCCCCCAAGAGCAACGTACGATGGTGGATAAAGCCGGAGCCGTTGCCTGCCTGGCACACACCCTCTCAGCGGAGGCGCCCGGTTGCCGGAGGTCCAACTGGGGCTCCGGCGGCAGCGCAGGCTGCGGCGCACTGGTCACCGCGGGATGACAGAGAGCAAAACCGGAGAGCAAAAAACCCAAACCTCAAAGAGGAGAGGAGGATCGAAGGGGCGCCGAGGTCCCACGGCAGCATCGCGGCGAGCCCGCAGCGGAGCAGTGCCAGGGCGAGGAGCTCTGCGCTGCAGCTGCGGCTGGAGGGACCGAGCCACGCCGGTGTGGCCGCGTTCCACGCCAGCCCCGCTTTGGCCGAGGTGTCCTGCAGCTGGAGGGGAGCACCCGGCACCCGCCTCCCGAAGGCGCTGCCCCGGCGGCAGTCGGGGGGAGAGGCTACTCAGAAGGCCCCTCTCCCCCGCCCAGGGGCCGGTGGCTTACCTTGCGACGTCCGATCCTGTTCCGTCCCGCCACGTTCCGTCGTGTCCTCTCGTGGGGGAGGAGGCTCTTTTTTTTTAGGGGTGCGGGTGTCTACCTAAGGCTCCGGCGGGGAAGGGCTGCAACGGGGACTCTGTCCCTCACGTCCCTTCGCGCTTTGTAGCCTCTTCCCTTGCCCAACCCTCCCCGCGGCAGAAAAAAAAAAAAAAAAAACAAACAAACAAACAATAATTAAAAAAAAAAACGGAAGAAAAACAATCCAACCCCGGGAAAAGGAGCCGGGATCCCCCAAGGCACCCGCCGCCGCCCGGGGCGAGGGCACGGCCCCGGTTTCGCCTCCCGGGAGGAGCTGCGGGGCACCCGAGCGCTGGCAAAACTTTGCAGGAGCGGCGCGGAGGGGCACAGAGCGGCGGCGTCCGGCGCTTCTCGCTGCTGCCGCCCGGGGCGGGCAGGGGTGCCCCTCGGGCGCGGCCGCTCCGCCCCGCCACCGCTCCGCTCCGCGGAGGGGCGGGCTCCCGAGGAGCCCCGACCCGCGGCCCCGGGGGTCCCCACCACCACCATCCCCCGGGCAGAGCCGCGCAGGGGCAGAGCCGGCCGGGTTTGTGAGAAGGAACTGAACATCCATCTTGGAAGCGTTATCCTGCCCGAAAGTCGGGACTGGCAGCTCTGTGGGACAGGACACAGTGTGGGAGAAAACTGGGGGAGGACAGCGCTCCCGCTTCTCCTTTTCACGCAGCCACTGCTTTAAGGGATTGGGGTTGAGGGAATGCTGGGGAATATCCCAACAGCGGTGGATACGGGAGAGGTGGCCAAGGATGCGTGAGAAATGGGATCTAGTAAACACGCCTGCAGTTTACCAGCTGCAGCCTCTCCCTCGTTATGTTTCTACCAGAGGCAGCTTTCAGGATCTGGGATCTAGGGACATTTTTCTTACTATTACCTGGGAGCTGCAACGAAAAGGTAGAAAGTATCCTTGGCCGTTTAAAACCAAATCTCTCTTTTTGTTTCTTTTTTGCACATCAGTCCTAACACCATCAAGTGCTACAGAAGCATTAGACAATTATTACCGACAGCAGCTGATTGGTAATTTCCCTGAAGGCAATCATTCCTTCTCTACTACTTCAAAGGATTTGGGCAGCGAAAATAAAATAAACCCTCATTTTTTCAAAAGGCTCTTGAACACATTTGATGGCAAAGCCTCAGAGGAGGGATGCGAATTGTCATGTTCTGTGGGGTGACAATCAGCTTCACCTTATGAAGCCGCAATCCCCAAAAGAGCTCATGTCTCTGGGGACACATAACTGTCCAAACCTCCACTGACTGCCATTAGTTACTGCCACTTACCTCCCACTATGTCAACTCGAAGAGTAGCCGGGTTTTTCACAGCAAGCCAGCAAGCAACCTGCCCCAGGGGCTGCTCGAAAATACAAGTTCACCAAAAGAAAGCCAGCATTAAGAAAAAGAGCCCCCTGGGTGCCCCCAGACAGTTATCCTTCTGTTTTCACACCCATATCCTTACATATTTCACAACCATGTTGATCCTTTTCAAATAGGTTCAAAGGTAAGAGTTTGGGGAAGGGAGGAAAGACACAGAATGCATGAATTTCTGCATGTTTAAGGAAAACCTAAAAATACCTGGCATTTGTACACAGCATCCCAACTTCTGCCTTTCTAGAGTATTTTTTGCCTCCAACTGCAACACCTCGGTTAAAAAAAAAAAAAAAAAAATCCCAGCAAACTACATGTTCTCCTCTTCCGCTGCAGAAGACGCAGATTCAATCATCCAAAAAGTGTGAGACTCTGACTAAATAAGAGAGCCAAAATTAGTAAAGAAACTTCAATGCATACTGCTTAGTTTTCCCCCAAGCCCTTGGAGTGTGCTGGAGCCAGCTGAGGGGAATGTGCTGAGGTGGAGGCAGGTAGCTACCTTCGGGTACGATTCGTG